GCCCTTCGGTTTCATTCCCACATGTGCAAAATGTTCTGTAGATGGACTCTACAACTGCACCTACCACCTACTCTCCTCACTACTTATCATAGCATATGCCTRTGAAASAGTAACCWCATCCCTGGCCAAAATGTTCTGTCTGATAATATCAAACTCAGGGTTGAGTCCAGTGAGRAAMTCAAACACCCTATTTCTCTCCACTAGCTTTCTATATATTTTAGCATCCTTTTTACTCTCTCATACCACTATTTCCATAACATCAATTTCCTGCTATAGGGACTTTAGTATAGAGTAGTAGATTGCCACAATCTTCTCCCCTATCTCAGGTTCTTCACATCACTTTTCAATTTGTATTCTTTGGCTACATTCAGTTTCTGTGAATAGGTTTCAGTCACACTGTCCCATATCTCCTTAGTCGAAGACATCTAGAGATAGTGCTGGCTTATATGAGGTTGTATAGAGTTGACTAACCATCCTATAACAGTATAGTTCTCTTGCATCCATCTTTCAAATTCAGGGTCTGTCTCTTCGGGTTTCAACTTGTTGCCTGTGAGATACCCGAGTTTTCCTCTACTACAAACATAGATTTTTATAGACTGGGCCCAAGCAAGATAGTTCATCCCATCTAGCTTAATTGTGGTAACACCCGTCAAAACGGAATCTACTGGAGCAGGTCCAGAAGTTGGCACCTGCTTGAGCTTACTTCCGTATGTCTCCATTAATCAAACGAAAATCAAAGAACATAAAATTTTGACTATGTAAACTTACTTGAAGTCAAACCAGAACTTGGGTGCTTGAAAAACTAGGGTTTTTCTCCGTCCAGCAGATGGACGGGAGAGAGAAGACACTGCCGCACCTACCAGAGTAACCCAAACTCTTACAAACCTGAACCGCCCTCCTTTAGCAGTCACAAGACACATTCCAAGCATAGAGCGCCACACCCAAGCTTCACCTTTCCTGGTAACTCAAAAATCTCCAGTCGGCTAGGGTTTTGGGCAGCAGCAAAACAACATCACTTCTTGAAAAAATCTTACCAGAACTAAACTCTCCAAACCCTTCTACCAACTAGGCAAGCGATTCTCAATACTATAGAGAACCTATCTCTYCATACACTCTCTTGATTTTAGAGTGTACAAGAACAAATAAAAAAGAAGAAAGAGGAACTGAACCCGCTCTGATACCAAGATGTAAATCAGTCCTCTAATATCAAGATTAAATTTAGTGATTAGCAGAATAGAACAGATCTGAATAATTGTATAAGAGAGGAAGATGGCGAAGAGAAGAGGTAAGAGAAGAAGAAGTCGAATTAATCACCCTTCTCCTCTAACCCTATTTTTTTATTAATCTCTAAAAAATTGATGATGACAAGTATACCCTTAAGTGGGCGGCCAGCATGGCAGTTACATAAAGAAAGTAAAATAGGAACAAATAACAGGCCCATTAAGTGAGGTCCATCAAAATAAAATAAAAGATAAAATAAAGGATATCACATGAGAGGCTGTTAGGGCCCATTCGGCCCAGTCTCTTTACAAATTGAATGCAAACATCAACGCTCGGTCCTAGCAACGATTTAATGAGCGCCCTCTTATTTCAGTCATTAGCCTTTATTACGAAATCAAGAAAACGTGCCAATTGGTTTCTCCAGCTGGTGCCCTCTTGATCTTGATCTTGATTTCTTGTCTCTCTTTTTTTTCGCTTCATGGGGCTACACAACAGGGGGTAGCCCATCCCCTTTCCCTTAACCCCCCCAACCCCTAGTGGCAACGGGATTTGATCCCAGGTCTCTACTCCAACGAGTCAAAGAACCTACCAACTGAGCCACCATCAGTTGGCTGATTTCTTGTCTCTTGCTCGGCAAGTTGTTGGGCATCAAATTGTATTTATAAATACATTGTGTACCACTAACAAATAATAAGAAAGTTTCATTTTCTCATTTCAAGTTGCGCTAAACCTTTTGTTTTCTCATCACAAGTTGCACTGAGCATGCATCTTTGCTCATCATAACTCTGCATTTTGTCATGGTATCAAAGCTTACAGTCTGATCGACCACTGCATCTTGATCTCCCCAGCAACGTCGATGACTCTGTTCTTCATCAGATCATGAGAAAACGTCAGCTACTCTGATTCTGCATCTCCATACTATCTTGGCACCTCAAACAATCTCGGCATGGTGCTGGTCACCACTCTACTGAATGGTGACAACTATCCGACTTGGAAAGAGCAATGATGAATGCTCTTTGGGCAAAGAACAAGATTGGTTTTGTTGACAGAACAATTTTGAAGCCGGATCAGACAAAACCAGTAGAGCTCGTTGCTTGGAAGAAATGTAATTTGATGGTCATTTCCTGGATTTGCAATGCATTGACCAAAGATTTACATGATAGTGTTGCTTACATGGATGATTCTCAGGCAATCTAGCTGGATCTTGAAGAAAGATTTTCGCAGGGAAATGCTACCCGCGTCTTCCACTTGAAACAGGAATTAGTTCTACTTAGACAAGGCAACCTCTTTGTTTCAATGTATTACATGAAGATGAAGGCAATCTGGGATGAACTCTCAACTTATATTCCAATGCCAGTCTATACTTGTTGTACATGTGGTATGATGAAAGATCTAGTAGCAGAACGTGAAAAAGATCGCATCTACCAATTTCTCATGGATCTTAATGACCGCTTCAGTACTATTCTCTCCAACATTCTTGGAATAGAGCCACTTCCATCTGTGAGCAAGGCATATGCCTTAATTACACAAGAGAAACATTAGTCAATTGCTAGATAATGGAGTCCTATGATTGAAGCAACTTCAGGCCAAAGGTGGTTCCAAGAACGCCAAAGATCGACCAAAGCTCTGTTGTGATCACTGCAAGATGACGGGACCTGGCAAAGATCGCTTCTATGAACTCATTGGTTATCCTCCTGGTTGGGATGTAAAGGGAAATCTGGCATGAAGAAAACCCATTATCAAGAAAAGAATAATACTAGTAGCTTCTGAATCTTCTCAAGTCTGATAACCCAATGATTTTCTCAAATTTTGCTGGTAAGGCCTCTACTTTACATTGGTTATTTGAGTTAGGACCTTGGTTACTGGACAGTGGTGCATCAGACCACACGGCACCCTCAACCATGAGTCTAAATAATCACATTATCTCTGCACCCAACAAGCCAATCCACTTGCTAAACGGATCTGTAATGCCAGTACAATCACAGGTCGATTTGGCACTTTCCCCGGATTTGTTCCTACGAGATGTTTTATTCGTGCCAGAGTTCAAATGCAAGTTATTATCCATCAACAAATTGACATCACAACTTAATTGTGCCATCTTGTTTTTTCCAAATTTCTGTGTGATACAGGACCTGAGCTCCAAGAAGGTGATTGGACTCGGTCCGATGCATGACGGTCTATATTATCTTCTGCCTAGTCCGCCATCCATGGCTCTTCATGTTGTTCATGATGCTGACTCGAGACTGTGGCATTCAAGATTTGGACATGCTTCTTATCAAAATATTGCTTTGATTTCTGATTTACATATAACTATACCTAATAATATTTGTCGTGACATTTGTATGAAGGCAAAGCAGGCTCAACATTGTTTTCCCATTAGTAAGGTTCATGCTACAAAATGCTTTGATTTGATACATATAGATATCTGGGGTGGATATCATTACTATTGTGGATGATTATTCACAAGCTACATGGGTTTCTTTTATGCAATGCAAATCTAATGCTTATTGTTACTTGCTTATGTTCTTTGCTATGGTTCAAACTCAATTCGGCACACGGATAAAATGTGTCAGATCCGATAATGAGTTGGAATTTCTGTTTGGTCCTATGCAGACATACTTCATTGAGAATGGCATACTACATCAACATTCGTGTGTTGAAACTCCACAATAAAATGGAGTGGTGGAATGGAAACACCATCACATTCTTGAGGTGGCTAGAGCCCTACAGTTCCAAGCAAGTTTGCTAATTCAGTTTTGGGGGGAGTGTGTTCTTACAACTGCATCTCTATCAACTATTTACCCACTCCTAACCTATCTGGTAAAACCCCATATGAAATGTTATTTCAAAGGTCACCTGCCTATGATAATCTTCACACATTTGGGTATCTCTACTATGCCATAACACATAAACGTGGTATGGATAAATTCAGCCCACGTTCACAACAATGCATATTCATTGGGAGGTGATATTCATTAGTCTCTTGGGATGTGATATTTTGTGAAGATCAATTTTCATTCAAGATTGTTGATCTCAACAACGTTGATGCATCCACTATTGTAGTGGTCCCTATTCCAATCACAGATGATGCCATTTTCCCATTGGAAACGATCAATGAGGATGGTGCCCGCCCAATAGCTAATGATGTCAGTGTGGATTCAACAAGCCAACCAACACTAGTGTTGGCGTAATGCCATGGTAGCTTAACTTAAAGCTCTTGAAACTACCAGAACTTGGTCTCTAACAAATCTTCCTCTTGGAAAAAAGTCCATTGGCTATAAATAGATCTACAAAATTAAGACCAATCTTGATGGTGGTATAAAGCGCTATAAAGCGTGTCTTGTAGCCAAGGGTTACACCCAAACTGAAGGCGTGGACTACACAGAAACCTATGCACCAATTGCTAAACTTGTCACTGTTCATTGTCTAATAGCTTTAGCGGCTGCACGGGATTGGCATTTACATCATTGGCATTTACATCAGATGGATGTGAACAATGCTTTCTTTCATGGTACTCTACATGAAAAATTATATATGCGGCCCCCTCCGGGCCTCCTTCCTCCAGGTGACAATCGTGTTTATTAACTGAACAAGTCAATTTACGGGCTGAAGCAAGCATCTAGAAACTGGTTTGAAACTCTAATCCATGCACTCAAGCAAAGAGGGTTCTCCCAGTCTTCTGCAGATTACACTCTATTCATGCTTCACAAAATTGGAGGGACTTTGATTGTGCTAGCTTATGTGGATGATTTAATTATTGCCGGTGATAATCCAGTTAGCATTGACTCACTCAGAAAATACCTCAGTCACTGCTTTCCCATCAAAGACTTGGGTCCGCTCCGATATTTTCTAGGCATTGAGATCTCTCGTTCTCCTTCTGGCATCTTCTTAAACCAGCGAAAATACACGCTCAACATTCTCAAAGAAACGAGAATGCTTGAATGTCATCCAAGTGCTTTTCCTATGGAGCAGCAACACCATTTTGGCCCATATTCTGGTCCTCTCATACCATACCCAAATTAGTATAGACGCTTAATTGGGTGTCTAATATACCTCACCATCCCTAGACCAGAAATCACCTATGCAGTACATATCCTCAATCAATTCATGAGCGATCCACGGCAACAACACCTGGATGCTGCTATGCATGTTCTACGGTATTTCAAATCTTTACCCAAGCATGGACTGTTTTTTTTCTTCTAAATCTGATCTCCTCATACGAGGATACTGTGATTCAGATCGGGCAAGTTGCCCATCAATAAGACAGTCAACAACTAGTTACCTTACTACTTGGGGTTCCTCCCCTTTGTCATGGAAATCCAAGAAACAACTAGCCGTCCTCTCACTCTTCTGCCAAAGCCGAATACAGATCAATGGCGGCAACTACAAGTGAGTTGCTTTGGCTTCAACACTTGTTTGTTGATCTTGGACTGCAACATTCACAGCCCATGCAGCTCTTCTGTGATAACCAAGTTGCTTTACACATTACCGCCAATCCAATTTTTCATAAACAGACAAAACACATAGAGATTGATTGTCATGTTGCCCGCTCTCATCTTCAAGCCCACACCATTGCGACAAGTCACATTCCCTCTAAGTCTCAACCAACTAATTTGTTTACCAAAGCCTTTGGGCATGATCGGTTTACTTTTCTCTTATCCAAGTTAGGCGTTCAATCTCCTACTCCAACTTGAAGGGGAATATTACAACATCAAGAACACGTGCCAATTGATTTCTCCAGCTGGCACTCCAGTTGGCGCCTTCTTTATCTTGATCTTGATTTCTTGCCACTTGCTCGACAAGTTATTGGGCATCAAATTGTATTTATAAATACATTGTGTACCACTAACAAATAATAAGAAATTTCGTTTTATCATTTCAAAGTTGCGCAAACCTTTTGTTTTCTCATCGCAGGTTGGGCTGAGCGTGCATCTTTGCTCATCGCAAACTCTTCTCTCATCGCAACTTGTCAGCCTTAAATTTTAGAGAACCAAAATATTGAAAATTTGCATTTTCGAGCCAACGTGTGATACAAACGTAGGTTGTAACCGACAAGGGTACCCCGACTTAGTGAGTCCTTACGAGGCATTTACAGATTTACTTACGTATTGAAATTGAAATGTTTAAAAAGAAAGAAGAGAAAAACCAATACTTCCAAAATTTCCCCACTGCTAAAAGTACATCCAAATCGTTAATATTTGTGCACTTACAAAATTTTTAAATACAGTTCAGGCTTTTGCGATGAAAGCCAACGAGCTCCCATTCTTATTCAACATGCATGTGTATACAGAGTCGAGGGCTGCATGGTATTTTCAACGGGCCTAGGATCAAGGTGGTATTCATGGTCTCATGGAGGATGGGTGATGGTGAACATCTTACTTCTGCCCCATATCACAGCCTCCCATACATTGAGAGAATACTCTTCAGTTTCTTCGCTTCTGGCTTCAAGGCATCGAAACTCACCGAGATTGGTATCCTCCAACTCCAATTTCCAAACTAGGTTGAAGAGGAAGGGGCAAAGAAAAAGAGGTACTGTCAGAGAAGCTTATTATTAAGCAAATCTAAAGGAAAATTAGTTGCATGTGTCAGTTGACAGTGAAAAACCAAAGGCCACTGTCAGTATCTCATGTATTTGTACCTGTACCTGTGGAAGTGGAAATGCAGGGTAGAAGTAGAACTGAAGAATCAGTAGAAAATAAAATTAGTCCCCCCCCCAAAAAAAAAAAAATATATATATATATATATATATATATATATATATATATATCCAAAACCCGATCCAACATCCAATCCAGCTATTTCAAATTTTAATAATCCATTTACACGATTGGATTAGATTCAATTTAACCCCATCCAATCTGATTAAAACCCAAATTTGATTAATATTGTATTATATTATATTATATTATATATTTTATATTTAAATAAATTTATATGTTCAACTATGATACTGAAAAAAAAAAACCTGTAACCAATGAAACGATATCATAAAAGTGGTAACCAATCAGGTAGTATTTATCAAAATTCACGCCAGGGGGTATTCATTGGTCAAAGCCATTCCAGTATCACGTCTTTCTTTTTCTTTGGTCCAGCATCATGTCTTTCTAGCAGCATAAGTTAAAAAGTGGTTAACATTTTTTAAATAATTTTTTAATTTTTGGTTTTAAAAATATAAAGCAAACTTGGATTAAATAATCTGGATCCAATCCAAATTCAATAGGCTCCAAATCCAATCTGAGATCCCTAGATCCAATCATATTTGGATGTTGCTGGATCTGATCCAAATCCAACCAATTACAGCCCCACTAGCCAACACTTTCCCGTTTCCACCAGGCTCTTTTTTGGAACCAAGTGGCAAAATATTGAAAGTGGTGGATTAGCAAATCCTTCTTCATCCCACTTTTCCCTTCCAAATCTGAACACAACACAAGAGTATTCCTAGTTCAGTACTACATAAACAGGAAATTTGAAGTGTAATCTGTAACTTGCCACTCAGCATCTGTGACTTACCTGTGTTGCTGGAATGTTCATCCTAGCAGAATTTCCCAAACCAAGAATATCTTGCATGGGTATGATGGCAATACGGGCCACTGAAGACATTACAGCTTGAATCAAAGTCCATGAAATATCTTCTTCACTAATTGAAAGGTATTTCATGACCTGCCACAGAAGTTGCAATTATTTGATAAATGAGAAGAAATTGCAATTAAATTGAATATACAGCTAGATGTAAAATCAAATTGAACCTGCTAACTAGTGAAATTCTAAGATGATAACATGATCCAGAAAACATGTTTGTTATACTTCATACTCTTTCACAAGATACTCACATTGGACTTCTCTTCCTGCTTCAAGTTTTCCCACCAACCTCGAACCTGAAAACTATGCAAATGTGTTAAGAGTTATTCCTATAAATAAAATAACCCTAACATCATTACTTCAGGACAGAAACAAACTGTACAAGTTAATCCAGTTCTGTCATTCTAGATCTCCATGTACTGTCATCTCTTTTCTGATCATCCAGAGGATCTAGTGGATAAAATAAGCTTCCACCTAAAAGATCTTCTATGTGACCCACTGAACTACCATCTGGATCCTTGCAGGTGTCACATGTACCATAGGGAGTATAGTTCTTTTCACTTGCATGTTCTACTAAAGTGGAAATGGTATACGTAAGAGCAGTCTATTTGAACAATAGTCACCCAAAGAATTAGAGCAGGTTGGGAAAAATGGAGGGGTGCACCTGAACTTTGGTGTGATAGATGAATACCACTTAGATTAAGGCCCCATTCGTTTTTCAGGAAGCTACTTATCCATGTTCTTTTATTTCCAAGTAAATAAGATGATGACTGTTTTAGCCATAAAAATCCATTATTAAAAAGGGAAATTTTGTCTCATCCAAGTGTTGGCAATATTCCCCCCAGGTGGGAAAGTTACCCACCGAGGGGATAAGTATCACTTGCCAAGGTAAGTGGTACCCAGGGAAAATGAATTTTCCATGGACCCCACATAAATCTGAAAAAAGAATGGGCATCTTGGTCAATGGAAACCAAAATCCCATTGACCGACTTTCCCCCCTCCTAAAATCTGAAAAACAAATGGGCCCTAAAAGGAAAATTCTATTAAACAGTTGTACGCCAGCTGTGTTGTATGGAGCAGACTGTTGGGCAGTTAAGAAACAACATATCCAGAAACCTAGGAGTAGCTCCAATAGGTGATAAAATGAGAGAGAAAGAGAGGGTAGACTAAGATGGTTTGGTCACATGCATAGAAGACCACCTGTAAGTACATGCAGTCCTCCGTTGTCATAATCATGATGAAGGCATCAAAACAGAGACACATATATACTTGCGATGAGCTCAAAAAGCCACCCGGGACTTGTGATGAGCATGAAATACCTCCTGAGACCTGCGATGAGCAATGAGTATTGCCTGAGACTCATGACAGAAAAAATGATATCGCCAACCTAAGCTGAGATGAACCCAATACATTACTAGCACCCTGCGATGGACACGAAATGGTAGTCCATACTGTAACGAACAGTAAATACACCCCGACACCAGCAACACCCGCCTGCGGGTGATTGACACCCTTTCCAATCACAACGAGCTGTGACGAGCATAGTTGTCAAGGCAACACCTAGGCGACTAGGCGATTTTTAGAAGTCACCGCGCCCACGCATTATATCATTCTTGAATGCCTTTATATATATTGTATCATTTTATTGGTTGGTTTTATTTTATTAGAATACATCCTATTGTATGTAACAACTTTTTTTTATAAAGATAAATCATCTTTTACTAAAGCTACGAAAGTTTCTTTGGGTTTTTGCATTTTGAACCGAGACTGAGAAGAGAAGCCAAAGACTCGGTCCAAGTCATCCAAGACCTCCCGGTAAGTTTCTTCTTCGCCTCTTCAATCTCCTCCTCCCTCCTTCCTCAAATTAACCTGGTACTCCAGTATTTTATTTTCTATTTAAAAAAAAAAAAAACTTTTGGAAACAAAACAGGGGCTCCACCCCCTTCTTCTTCTTCTTCTTAAACAGGGGCTGCGCCCCAACTTTCTAAAACTTTCCTGTATTTTTTTTGCACTATTTTTTAATAATGCTTTTTTTGGACGAAATAGGGGCTCTGTGCCTTCATTTTTCTCTCCTTTTTTCGCAGCATTCTCCCTTTTTTGCTCTATGTCCTCTAACTCCTACGTTTTTTTTTCTTTTTTAAGAAATATTTTTTGGGAACAAAACAGGGGCTCTGTCCCTTTACTTTTCTCTCTTTTTTTTTTTTGCTACATTCCTTGTTTTTTGTTGGCCTGAAACAGGTATGATGTATATGATGGAATTTTATGTTTTATTTGAATGAATTTACTGCTAATAACCAGTATACGGTATGTTGGTCAGTATAAAAATCAAACAGTAGCTTAAGAACGGTTAGKGATCTTTATTTTATACTTTCAAATTCCATTGCCTAGGTTAGGCACCTGGGCAACTGAGCACTTCTTCTTCTTCTTCTTCTTAAACAGGGGCTGCGCCCCAACTTTCTAAAACTTTCCTGTATTTTTTTTTGCACTATTTTTTAATAATGCTTTTTTTGGACGAAACAGGGGCTCTGTCCCTTCATTTTTCTCTCATTTTTTCGCAGCATTCTCCCTTTTTTGCTCTATGTCCTCTAACTCCTACGTTTTTTTTTTCTTTTTTAAGAAATATTTTTTGGGAACAAAACAGGGGCTCTGTCCCCTTATTTTTCTCTCTTTTTTTTTGCTACATTCCTTGTTTTTTGTTGGCCTGAAACAGGTATGATGTATATGATGGAATTTTATGTTTTATTTGAATGAATTTACTGCTAATAACCAGTATACGGTATGTTGGTCAGTATAAAAATCAAACAGTAGCTTAAGAACGGTTAGTGATCTTTATTTTATACTTTCAAATTCCATCCCCTAGGTGCCTAGGTGCCTAGGCACCTGGGCAACTGAGCACCCAGTGGTCGCCTAGGTGCGTTGACAACTATGGTGACGAGGCACCTCAGAAATAACCAAGCGGAACCTGAGCGCGCTAGATAGACCCAAAACCTCATCCCCTGCCATGTGGCCATGAGGAAACCCATAATGGGATGTAGCTTGCATGTGCTAGGCAAGAATCCTCAAGGTAAAGGGAATTTGTTCTCAGAGGATCTCATTGCACACATGGCGAAACCCCAGTGGCGTTCCCTTGATAACCGGCATAAAGACGAGGATCCCCTTTCCTAATAGAAATCAAACCCTTTTTGGAATCCTTCTCCTTAAAGTATCAGGATCTCCCTTATAAAAAGAGGCCGTACTTTATGACCAGCGGACATTCTCTTCGACCACCTTACTACCCAACTCTAGTAAGATTTTCCAGAAGCAAAAGCCTACCCATTATTTCCCCCACGGCCTCCAACCCTAATCCTTCTTCGTCCTTCAAGGAGACCACCCTATCTAGCCTCACCACCATACTTACACCACCAACTGCTCCAATTAGAAGAAGTGATTTGTTACAAGTGGAAGGGGCTAGAAGATTTAGGGGTAGACCAAAAAGGACATGGTAAAAGTATTAAGAAATGATTTAAGCACTAATAATTTTACAACGAATATGGCTTTAAATAGATTGGTTTGGCAAAACAGAATTCGTGTAGCTGACCTCATATAGTTAGGATTCATAATGATAATGATGATGACGACACAAATAAATCTCAAACAAAAATTTTTGAAGATGTCAGGAATTACTCCATATCAAGTAATGTGACATTCCAATAACTTCTTGATAAATAAATAGTCAATTTTTCAAGTTCATAGGAAGGAGGAATAAAATTAAAAATAGGGGACACTTACCGTATCGTTATCATGAGTTCCAGTATACACTACTTGATTAGGCTCATGATTATGAGGCAGATGAGGATTATCTGAGTCACTTCCAAATGCTGTACCAAGAAAATATCACGAAAAGCAAGTTCAAAAGAATTTCTGAGGATAAATATTTGGAAAACACTAGCACCTGTGGAAACTAATTACCAAACTGGAGAACAGCCATTCCAGGTGCTCCAATTGCTTTCCTTAGCTGAACTACATCCTCCGTGATTACTCCCTTTATGATAAATAGTGAAAAGAAGAGAAATGACAATATTAGAGGCATATCATTTATCAAAAAGCCACAGGCCCACAGATTTTTGGAAGTAGAAACAGACAAATACAACTACAATAATAATTTGATACATATTGATATACCATCCAATAAATGCTGCCAATTGGTCCTAAATTCATGTAATTTTCTAAAGTCTGTGGAGATTCACAATTGCATCAAAGTGTTATTAAAGTCTTAAAAGTTTCCTTTATTACATTGTTATTAGATAGGCAACTGCAATACTAGACAAGAAGCACTACAAATTTCACAATGACACCTTGGATGGTTGGGAATAGACTCATATTTTCCATGTGCATTGGGCACATGGAAAGGAGAATTGGACAAAAGAATGATCATGGAAGAAAATTTGGTAGGCTGCTGGTATTTATTAGTGTCCCATCCCACCGGCTTCAGAACCAGTGGTAAGGGGCCACAAGAATGCCAGTCATATGTGTAGAGGTTCTTACCCTAAGATTATATAAGCAGTAATCAGTACCATCCTAATATAATACCATCAGGCTTTGACAATCAACATCACAAACTGAAATCAAATAAAAATATGGTTGGAAGGCTGGTATACAACAAACCATACCAAGTCTTCTGCTATTATGTTGATCTTTCCAACAGCTTTGAATATGGCATCAAATAATGCCTTCCTTGGTCCAGCCTACAGTCAACGAGGGGAAAAGGCATTTAGTTTCGATTGTTAGGTTAAAAAGAAACAAGAAATAAATGCTCATAGGTCTGACCTTCCATTGGCCAACCATTGCAATCTTTGCTTCTGCAAAGTCATGCAATTAGGATTACTATAATATACATAGCAAACAGAAATTCAAGCTATATAACATAAATGGTCTCACCCGAAGGAACAGCCCAAAAGCCAGCAAATCCTCGAAAATGGTCTATCCTGAACTCATCATACAGATTATATGCACGCTTTATTCTCTGTATCCACCAAGCAAATCCATCATCTTCCATTGCTTCCCAATCATATAGAGGACTTCAAGTACAAAAGGCAACATTGAAGTGATTAGAAATGCCAAGTTAGGTAACATTACCTACTACAGATAAGTGAAAACTTTAATACTGCAGTAATATCATTCAATAAGAATGGAAAAGGATTAGAAAATTTTAGTGCTAAAAAAAGAAACTTTTCTTAATAGATGTCATAAGTTAGCTGAACAAGTTTTTACGGTTTAGGTCTCATAAACTTTCTGAACAGGACATAAAGACAAAATATAGCATTGTTTTTAATAAACAGTTTTAGCTTTAAGATATTACTACGAAGTCCTGGGGTCCAGCTGAGAGAATGAGTATACTGGTATGTCTACTTGTTCTGTTCCATCAGCTCTGAGTCAGCTGTATGCTGTTTACATATCCCCTCCCTGGAGACATCCTCAAGTTTGGGCAGTTTCTTTTTAATGTTTTACATTATTAATAAAGCTTATCTGATCGTGCTTCTAATCCAAATTTAACATATTATACATAAGATATATCTCAAATCCCAATCCCTCTCTTTCTATTTACCTTTTGTAGCCCTTTCTGTTTTTTGGTTCTTACTCTTTAATCCTACCTTCAATAAACATGTCCAGCCCCTCTAATAAATACCTAGGGTCATCCAGTCATGTCAGTTTATGGCAAAGCATATCTACCAAGTGGAACCAATAACTAGTGGTCCAGCTTCTGAACATGACCAACATCAGTTAGACTAGGAAAATTACATAAGAATCAAATATAGGTATACAGAAATTCTGTCAGACTTGGACAGAACAGAAAATAAGAATGCTCACCGGTCAAAGTTTTACCAGTTAACCAGCCAGTTAGCCCACTCAATCCATGAAAACCATCATTTAACTGGGAATCTAACTGGATCACGGTCATGGTTCAACCATCCAGTCCAAGTCTGACATCACTGGTATATAGTAATAGAATTGTGAAAGAAATTGTATGCAATCAAGATAAATTGATTTTACTTAAGTCCATCTGACCAAGTCAATTTCCAAAGCAGCACATCTATGAGTGGAACAAATTTAATAGTGGGTTCCCTACACATGCATTGATGCACCAAATCCACATCAACCAGTATTGTGTTAGTCATCTTATAGTAATCTGTATGGGGATCACAGACAAAGTCTTCATTACGCAATGCTCTATTTGACTAAAAACTTGTAAGATTTTCACTATCAAAGTGTCTAAAAACTAAAAAGTTAAATATACTTGGTGATATCCAGTATAATAGCAACCTGCCCCAAAGCTGGCCAGTTTCGCTGAAGGCATCTGGGGGAACACCACTGACTAGGGAAGGAAAACCACTCCTGCTCTGCAGAGAGAGAGAGAGAGAGAGAGAGAGAGAGCATTAGGCTAAGAAGTTCATGAAACTAAGGTGATTTATATCTGTCACAACCCCATCAAGAAATACTAACCAAAAGAAATTGTTTCCTATTTGCCCAGACATCTGCACTGTGATACCCTACATATATGGGCATATCTCCCATTATGTTGATTCCTTTCATATGTGCATAGTTGCGAACTTTCTGCCATTGCCTTTGAAATAAGAACTGTTGTGCAATAAATATGTCTATCTGCATTCATAAAAGAATGAACAAGTTTCCTTAAGGAATAGAAATGTCAAGTAGAATATCCAGGACACCACTGTCTCACAGATGTATTCAGATTGTAAACCAGCACTCACAAAGTCCTTTTGGCTTTGGTTTATTTCCTCCAAGGCCACAAGATGGCGGTTTTTTAAAGGTGCAGGCCACTCATTCCAAGTGAAAGTATTTAGAGCATTGTCAATAGCTGCAAAATAAGCTGCATCTTCTAGCCATCCTAAAAAGAAAGTAAACAGAATTTGCAATATCATATGAGAAAAAGACAACTTAGAAATTGAGTAGTACAAGGCCATAAAGAGAAAAAAAATGGTATCAAAAGATTATGACATCCATGTATATTTGTTTGAAATTTTAACAACGCTATATGGAAATCTTAAATACAATAGTGCATAACTAGACTCATCATCATCTAACCCTTATCCCAACTATATGGGGTCGGCTACATGAATCCCGTTCACCATTCCTTGTTTAATGTCATATCCATTGTTAAATTCATCATCATCATCATCATGCAACCCTTATCCCAACTACATGGGGTCGGCTACATGAATCCCGTTCACCATTCCTTGTTTAATGTCATATCCATTGTTAAATTCATCATCATCATCATCATGCAACCCTTATCCCAACTACATGGGGTCGGCTACATGAATCCTGTTTCTCCAGTCTGGTTCTGTTTAATGACATATCCAATGTTAAATTATTGGCACGTAAATCATTTCTTACTAATTCTACCCATGTCCTTTCTGGTATACCCCTTGCCCTTCTAGCCCCTTTCAACTTGTAACAAACCAATTCTTACTATGGGCACTGTTGATAGTCTTCTATGCAGTATGCACATGACCAAACCATCTTAGGCTATTTTCATTTTTATCACCTATTGGAGCTACTCCTAAGGTCCTACCAATGACTTCATTTCTGATCCTATCCTTTCTAATTTTTCCATTCATCCATCTCAGCAAACGCATTTCTGCCACACCCATTTTCTGGACATGTTTCTTGACTGCCCAACACTCTGCTTCATACAACATAACTGGCCTTACAACTCTTTTATAGAATTTTCCTTTTAATCTAAGTGGTATTCACCTATCACTTACAACTCCAGATGCACCCCTCCATTTTGCCCATCCTACTCTAATTCTATGGGCAACATCCTCCTCAGTCTCTCCATTATTATAAATTGCCAAACCAAAGCACCAAAAAAGGTCACATTGATTTATCTCTTGGTCTCCAATCCTAAGTGTACCCTGATTTGCACTCCCATCGTCATTAAATTTACATGCCATATATTCTGTTTCAGAGCTACTTACTTTAAAACCTCTTGTTTCTAACGAATTTATCCATAAGCTTAGCTTTGCATTTAATCCTCCATTAGTTTCATCAATTAAAATGATGTCACCAGCAAACAACATGCACCATGTGAACTCCTCTTGAAAATGTTTAGTCGGTTCATCCATGATCAGTGCAAATAAATAGAGATAGGATTAGCTGAACACTTCAGCTGTTCAGCAGGCTGTGGAACCAATGACAAGACTCCACACCAGTTTTAAAAGTACATGAGGCCCACAATCATCAACCTCTCAGTGTGGGCCCCATGTATTTTAAGACTGGTGTGGAGTCTTATCATTGATTCCACAGCCTGCTGAACAGCTAAATCGTTCAGTTAATCCAAATTCAAATAAATAAGAACAAAGTGTTGAACCTTGGAGAAGGTCCATTGTAACTGTAAAAATCTGATGTCTCTCCCACAAGTGACAAGTGTTCTAACATTGGTTGTTGCACCACCATACATATCCTTAATTAGGTCTATATACTTACTTTGAACCCCTTTCTTGTCCAAGAACCACCATATTATCTCTCTAAGAACTTTATTGTATACTTTCTCTAAATCAATGAACACCATATGGAGATCTCTCTTTTTCTCTCTAAACTTTTCTATCAATCTTCTCAAAACAAAGATAGCTTCCATGGTTGATCTCCCTAGATGATGAAAATATAAAAGCTAACTATTATTTATTAATATAAAATGTAGCACCACATAAACATAGCTTGTAAAAACTTAAATTGTGACATGACTTCTAAAGTCAACTACATAACTCCCAAGTCAGAAAGCTATAACTTCCTATGGAAAAGGTTCTTGTGTTCTTATTATCCAATCCTTCTTATGAGAATAGAGCTCACGTCAAATTCGATGACTGTTTCTTATATCAATTTAAGGGAAAAAACAATATCGAGGAGAATATCAATAATAGGAAAACAAATGCTGCTCAATATTTCATTTCCTCAACTATTTCCAAATCAAACATTTATTTCTATTGGTAGAATGTTTGTACTAGAACATTTCACTACAATAAGCCATGAAAGATCCATGAGTAAATAAGTCTAAAAGCTTTTTTTTCATCAATAATAAGTCTAAAATCTTTAATTACCTAATATTTGAGGGTCTCTACGAAATTGTTCAAACTGACTTTTCAGCTCCCCTTCACTCAAAAGGACCCTCTCTGCAGCCTAAAGATGAAGTAGATATTATAAACATATTAATATGATAACATCAAAAAGGAGAGAGTAACATGGATTTGAAGTTGAGCAAAAACATTTCCATGCTACACAAAACCCATATTAAGTAGTAAGAAAGTGATGCAGATGCAAAAACAAGGAAAGAATTCATGGGGAAACAAACCAATTCTCCAATTACTATACCAATTTCAGAATTTTTGGGTTATAGGATATTGGTACTCTTTTAGTTTTTTTTTTTTCAAGTTGTTGGTATCTTAATAACTATTTTTTAGAATTTTGTTGTTGTTTTGAAATTATTAGTTGTGGTAACTCTTGGGCTTACTATTTATAGTAATTCTCATAATTTCCATTTTTAGTAAATCTTTGGTTAACTATTTTAGTGATTTTTCTGATGTCTTTAAATTAAAATACTATTTTAGGAATTCAACAAGGCCCCCCCCCCCTTCAGATAGTGTCATGCATCTTCATTCTTCTTAATACAAGAAACCTTTTTTTATCAATAATTCTTAATACAAGACATCTTTCATAAAAAGTGAAACAAAAAAAAAAGATCCACTTGCCCCTTCTTCTTCCTCCTCATCCCCCCCCCTCCACTTAAGGAGGCTTACGCCTTTTATGTTCTGAACTATACCTCACGCCTCCTGGCAACGAAACGCCTCGTGTCATGTCTCCACATTTTAAAACATTGCAGTAAAACTTTATGTTACTGATAAAAAAGGTTTGGATCTGCTCTACCTAACAATATTGGCTCCAAATATCATGGAAGTGTTTAAATATTAACAATAATCAAAATACACCTTAAAGGTTAGGCATGGCACAGATTTAAGTAATCTGTTGTGGTTAAAAAGTGGTAAAATACAAAAGAGAGGTACACACTCCTTTCTTCAATAAAATTGTTAACTTTTCTCAAAAAAAAAGTGGTAAAATAAATTTGGTGATTTCATGATTATTTGACTTGCTTGACTTCAAATTTTTTAGGGCAGCTAGATCCACATGTTGCTTAAATTGTCCAAGGATAATTTATCAAAAAAAAAAAAAAAGTCCCAGGGATGATACTGGATACCCATAAATTGACACATATGAATGTCTCAGACTAATTCCAACTTAAGCAACCTACTTCTTGAAAGTTCATTAAGAATGAAGTTGCTTGGGGTTCATTTAAATGAGAGCCTGCAAAAATAGATTTATTCCCTTGCTGTTACCCAAGTTTTGCTTGTAAAAGCACCAAGAGATGAAAGATGGATTCTCCAGGAAAAAAAGGAAAGAAAAATTTACTGTAGTTAGAAAGGAAAACACCTAGATATCTCCTATTTTTCCATTTCCTAGTGTTATGCACTTAGGCTGATGGGTGTAACTAACTCCAAGAAAGGTTATGTTAGAATCAAGTTGTTATCTTAGAATGTAGCTAATTCATCAAGTTCCTAGCCTGTGGTGTAACTACTTAAAGAAGAGAACAATGTTTAGAATCAACAGAAAAAGTAAAAATATTTCTGAAGATGCCCTAACATGTTAAAAAGAACACAAATCATAAACAAGGTGTGATAATGTAGCAACACCCTGAGCATTCTATAAGGTTCCTATTTTAGTTTTTAGAGTGTATGTGTGTTTGTGCCTCTGACAATCAGTTATACATGCATACATATATATTATGCATAGTACGACAAAATCAGGCATGCTTTCTGAGGAAGCTATTATAGTTAGCATTCACACATTAAAATCATTTAAGGAGCACAACTGCACAAGTAATAACATATAAAGAATGCAGCATTGCCACTGAAGCAAATATGGAACAAGTGACGCCATCTTCAATAAGGCAGTCACTTCATACATTATGTAATATATAATCTATACTAGAAAGTGCAAGAAGAGTTAAATATGATGCTTCTCCACATATTTTACCTTTGCTATCAAAGGGTCTTTTATGCTAGCAACAGTTGTGAAATTCACACGGTCAGCAATCCTAAACACATAATGCAGCATAATATTAATAAGAAAAACACATACGTTAAAAGTGAAAACAAAAAATTAAGGGTGTGTTCAGTTTATGGTTGTTTTCATGTTTCATGACATGACAGAAATGAGTAATCTGTATGAAGTTGCAGGTTCTGGAACCAGCAATACATGGTTCCAGGGCCAGCATAATAAGCATTTTTTGAACACAACTCTTAATAGCCTTCTCAACCAAGCAACATGGTTCACTGAATTAAGCATGACTTAGCAGTTATATAGTGTGTCTCACACACCAATATAACTCATATCATAATGTTTCTGCTCAATAATGACCATACGATCAAAAGTAATCAAAGGTAATAATGAAAGTACACATACACATGAGTCGCACAATCAATACTAACATATCATGGTTCAATAATTGAACCACAAATAGAACAGCCTCTTATATTGTCTGGTTCAAAAAAAAAGCAGCCATTTTCCAAAAAAAAAATGGTATGGTTCTAGAACCATACCATCATTTTTCAGAACACCATGTAAGTTTGTCAATCCCATACATCAAGCAATTATTTAAAAAAAAAAAAAAAAAAAAAAAAAGATAAAGGATAAAAAGAAAAACTTACATTGGTTTTGGAAGTTCATGCTTCATCAACAAACCATCCTTAACTAACTCATCAAGAGAAATCAAAAGGGTGTTACCACAATTTGCATCCTGCAGATGATCATCAAAATATCTTTAAATTCCTTGATATACATGGGTAAGAGTTGGGCAAAATTCCAAAACAGTTTTCCCACAAACTGCACATGAGATGAGACACATAAAGAAGGGTTGGTACCAACTGCAGGAAGATGCCAAGAAGATTAATTGTGTTATAGTCAATGAAACTGAATCTGAATTTGGACAAATTAGCATCTTTTTCTTCTTTCCAAAATGTCAACAGCAAGGAGTACATCAAATGGTTAGCAACTTAATCATATAATTTCCAATGTAGCACCCATCATGTAGATTATGATGTGATTTTATACCTAGGAAATCTAGGTAGCACTTATTAAATGGTATGCTCTAAACCCACCTCGTACAAAATGGATATACTATAAAATAATTATAGTAACCACAGGATCATGTACGAATCGCTTGTCTACAACCATGAGCTCTTTTGTCTTCGCAGAAATTTCCTTTTATGGTGAAAAGCTAACCATGCAGTTGATTTTTTGCCTCCTAAAGTACTCCTTACAATGAAATATCCTTTATCCTCCTGATTTCCAACTTCCAAAATTTAGTACACAATGATTTGAGATAAATGCTATGAAGATGCCTTTGCTTCTAGCATGCAGTCATTTGTTTTATCGATGCTAGTAGAGGGAACCATATCAACATAAACAAAGCCATTATCGATGCTAGTCCCTGCAATCTGGGATCTTGGAACTGGCACATTGGATACAAACCTAACCACTGGCATTTTTTGCAGAAGCAATGGCCTCCTGGGAACTAGAAAAGACATGGCAGATGCAAAGAACTTTAACAAGCAAGAAATATGGATTCTGCTTTATATGCAACATAATCCAAAAAATGGACCACCATTTACAAAAAACAAACAAAAAAATAGAACAAAATACCACGCAAACCACCTGACCCCCTTTAAGCCTGTCAAAACACCAGTGAGAAAAGAAATCAATCAAGAAGATTGACCTTATCATATAAACCTGGAAACGTTCATTACAAACCATAGTGGTTCCTGGACGTACTAACACATTATGTGGGAGGTTTAGAACTTGGCATAGAAGCTGAATACAAACTTCTTTTGGTTTCCCAGGGAGCAAATAGATATCCATAGTAGGGTGTAATCTTCCAAGTGGGGAGTATGTACATAGAGGGGTGGCTAGCAGGGGCTAAGGCAGTATGAGGGGTGTGAGGCATGCATATTTTAGTATATTATTCTTTCTATTCATAATTAATAACAGTGAATCTTCGTTACCAATCAAAGAACCATTCATTACAAAATAGAAACCACACCAAACATCAAGAACAAAAGTAAAACCCCAGAAAACATCACCACCGCCAATGTATAGGAGCCCTGGAATATAAAACTCCTCTAGATGTTTAAGTGATCAGAGTTCCTACTCGATCCCTCTTCTTCCTCTGATGTCTGGACTCTGGTATCTTTTCCCCTGCTCCCTTCAAGTTTTCATTTTTATAGTTTCCCTTTCCAAAAAAAATGCATATCCTGACCACGCACCCCCCATAATGATCGCCACTCTTCACATAATTTATCTAAGTAAAGCATTCCAGTGCAACAATGTTTAAGTTACTAGTGAAACGGTCTAGTAAAGAAGATAAAGTTCACCTGGCCAGAGTAAGGGGATCCTTCTTCATTAGCCTTCCTCCCAGGAGGGACAAGAGGGAGAACCTGCAAGTATGCAGCCACTCTGAATTAAATCCAGCTTCCTATAAGTGATGTAAGATATCCTCATAAAAGCCAGGAAAAATCATATCATTAAAATCGAAAAGAGAAAAGAATAAAGCAATACAGAATTTAAAATGTAATAACCAAAAGTAGAAGCAGACCTGCCAAATGGAGCAACCAGCTTCGTGAAGCCAATCCAAGAAGCGAAAGGCCTCTTCACCAAAATCTCCAATACCATATGGTCCTGGCAATGATGTCGGATGAAGCAGAACACCAGCTCTTCTCCGATCTTTCGGATCCGCCTTAGGGAACCATTCTCCATAGTCATCCGGCAAATCCTCTCCGACGCTGACGAGATCAGCAGTAACAGTCTCGCTCGAAAATCGTCGCTCAAACACTCTTCTCTTGGTTTCGGGCTTCAAACCATTGAAACAGCAAGCATTGTTCCTTATGGCGCTGGCAGTGAACGAAGGAGATGAAAATTTGCAAAATTTGAGAGGGAAGAGCTGGCTTGAAGAATAATATACAGAGGAAGGACGAATAGAAATAGAAATGCAAATCTCCATTAAAAGGAAACTAGAAAAGTTCTCTAGAACCCAACCACCAAAACGTAGAGAGTAAGGAATGGCTGAATAAAAAACGAGGAGCGAAAAGAGAATGAGAATTTCAGGGCGCTAATTTGGACAGCAGTTGCAGCCATGCGTTTGGATCCACCATCGTCGATAAAATATCGAGAGAGCAAAGAACGCGAGCGAAACAGAGAGAAATCGACAAATGGGCACTTGTCTGGGTATCTGAATCCTGACCCATTGTCCCCCTCCACTTGAGGAGAGAGGGTTTCAACTCCCAAAGTGCAAACTTCGAGGTTCGAGCCGACGGTTCAGGCTGCTTACACTTCACCCGCTGAGGGGCCAGGGGAATGATTTCTATTCAACGAAGAGAGTAATGCTCTCTACAACTCTTGGATTCTTCGCCCTAGATACAACGAAGAAATCCAATTGTAGCATAAATTCCTTTGCTAGCAAGGTGATTGATGTAAAAAATTACCATCATTATGTCTTCAAATTTATTAAGCACAAGAGCTTTATTTGTAAACGTAAAAGAGTGCAGTGTAACTCTATTTTAACTTATAGTTATTAGTACTGGCATGGTTTTGTCTATCCAATGAACAAAGAATTGATTTAAAGAAATTGGTTGTTGTCTTATTTTTCAAAAAGAGGGATTGAATAACTGTATCAGACAGGATTCATGATTATCAGAATTCATTCTTTTCTGAAAGGATTGTGAGAATGAGAATCCTGAGAATTAATGCCAAACGAGGCCTTAACATCCCCATTTGGTATCAAAATATCTCAACGATTCTTCTCACTTGCTTTTGTCCTTATATCTTAATATCCATACATACATAACCTTTCCCTTATAATAATTGTATAAAGTTGTAAGGGGTGTTGTCTATATTCACAAACATTTATCAATATCAACATCAAACATCAATCAAATATCTATTCCTCTAACGAATAGTGAAATAACAATGCCGCCTCCTTGTTTAAAGATTTAATAAAAGGGGTTGTTTCCCTTTTTATTAATTCAATATGACTGTGCTCTTTTAATATGCTTATGAAGAGGTCACTTTGGCTGCTTGGAAAAAAAACAGCTGTTTTAGGAGCCTTGGCGTAAATATTATTTTACCCGCACTCGTTATGAAATATCATTCACAATAGCTTTTCAAAACAACCCAAACTGTTTTTTACAAACAGCCAAAGTTTTTTCACTTTTGAATGGAATTTATGTTTTTTTTTTAAATAAATAGTCATTTTATTCTTATCATCGTCCAACAAAACCTTTTAGGGTCCGTTTGGTTCACACTCAGAATCGGAATTGAAATCCTTTGAAATCGGAATCGGAATAGTCTATTCTCATAGTATGTTTGGTTCAGAAATGAATGGAAATGAAAATTGGAATCATCCGGAATGAAATTTCATTCCCAAGGGAGGGGCAGGGAATTGCCATTCCCTCAAATGGGGGTAGAGTGGCCACAAGCCAAACTTCTCATGAGCTATTCAAGCTCGGCTCGTGAAAAGTTCGGTTCAATTTAAATCGAGCTTTGAGCCAAACTCGAGCCTAATATATAGGCTTGTTTGCTAATCAAGCCAAGCTCGAGCCCAATGAAGATTGGCTCGTAAGGCTGGCGAGCCTAGTATAATAAATAAATATTTTTTTATTACATACATACAAACATATACATATATAAATATATATAATAAATAATTTTTATTACATAATAATATTTTTATTTTTTTATGTACAATGGTAAATAATTTTTATAATTCTTATTTTTTTATATGTAAAATAAAAGCATTATTTATATGTATATTTTTTATTTTTTATATATATAATAATAAATGCTTTTTATAATTCTTAATTTTTTATATGTAAAATAAGAAAAATATTTTTATGTGTATACTTTTTATTTTTTAGAAAAAGAAAAAACTTGACTTGCAGTCGAGTTTGAACCTAACACAATTTCAGCGAATCGAGCTCGAATAGCCAAGTATTTGGCTTAGCTCGAATCCACCCCTAAATGAGGGAATGCCATTCTAACAAGAATGAGAATGAGATTCCGATTCTATCCAACCAAACAATTGAAATCGGAATAGCCCATTCCGATTCCAATTCCAAATCCCTATTCCTACAAACCAAACGGGGCCTTAGTTTTTTTAATGATTATAAGTAGGAGAATGTTTGATACTGTGGTGTGGGATTTTTCATTTCAGTGGCCATTCAGAATAACCTTTAGAAATGCTCATTTACCCATAGAAAAATGTATTTGATCATTAGCTTTGGTTTGAAATGGGAAATACTATACAGATTATCTTTTGGTACATGTTATGCGACTTTGGTGAGACAGGATTCATGCATGTAGCCGATCTCATCTAGTTAGGATAAAGCTTCGATGATAATGGTTTGGTCCTTATAGGGGAGTTCGGATTTTCTCTAACAGGTACATCCACTTCACACTACAGCCACACATTATAAATATCTATTTATAAAAAAATTCTAAATGCACGATTGCAATTGCTGTGAGGTGGGTGTGAGAAGCAAAGGAAATCCGGATTCCTCCTAGGGGCAAGTCTTAAAGGCTGTACTCAGAAATTAGCTGGATTAGTACTGTGGGTTGATAATTAGAGATGATAACAGGTCGATCGGGTCTCTCATAGGGTGTAATTGGTCCCAACAGTGTTATATGAGGACACAAAACCCAAAACCAGGATGGAAACCAATTATATATTAATCAGGATAATTGGCTCCCAAATTATACTTAATATCTATAATATGAAAACTACAGACATCATGTTTGATGATGAAATATATGACCTTAATAAAATTGCAAATAAATAATAAACTATTTATGTGTTGACAAACAAGCGTTTTTAACTAAAAGCATCTTATTTATTATATGAATTTTCCTATTTAGACATAAGCTATAACAAAAACAGTATTACAAGAAAGCCATAAGACCTTCTTTATATATTAATATTGATTAGATATTAGGCTTGGAATAACAAAAACCAATCCCAACCGAATTATTATAACCAGGACACAAAACTCAGAACCAGAAACCAGTATAATCAATTCAGTTCACTTCTACTGAAAAGACCTGATCCATTGAGAATTCTGTCTATGCTATGTTTGGTTTGAAAGAAAATTAGGTTGCGTTTGGTTTAAAGGAAAAAATAAGGAAAGGTAAGAAAATTTTTATAAACCTAATATATATTTATATATCTTTCCCTATCTTTTCCTTCCTTTCCATACTTTCTCCTTCAAACCAAACATAACCTTAGGGAAAGAAGGAAAAAGGTATGCTAAAACCTATACAAGGTGCCTTAATGATGACAGAGAAGCATACATGGGCCCATTGATATTCACAATACTAATATAATTGATCATATTAGTGTTTTACACATCGATGTGTTTATGTTAACCAAAAGAATTTATCAAAAAACATGGAAGGTACGAAGGATGCAAGATATGTTCTAAATTTGCATCTATTAATAGTGACAACTTATTTACAGAATTTATGTTTAACCACGGGCGATGGTCATTCCCAAGAAATTTACCTAGAATATTAGCAATTTAATTCTTCCAGCACCTAGGCTCTTAGTACCATCTGCTGATATACAGGAGTTTTCTTGAATATATACACAGTAACACAAATATATATAACTATCAAACTCTGCAGATTGAAACACTCTAACTATCCGAATATAGTGCCCTCTCTCCCAGCAGAGAAATGGGTGATCAGTAGTAATTGGTTTAAATGTCATCAGACCAGTCACTGAGCTCGGTTTCATAGAACAAACCATCGACGAGATTGTCAATCAGTGAATCGATGAATGTGTTACAACTAACAGTGAAAATTCGGCCGACTCTGGTTCGAGCACTCGAAAACCAAGCAAAAATAGCAGCACAAACTACAGCACCCAAACAAACCCCTGCGGCTTCCTCAATGCCTTGTAGATCCATCTTTTGAAACAACGAGTTTCCTGTTATTACTTCCTTTGTTACCGTAGCAGCAAACACCATCTACCAAAAGAAATTTGAAGGAAGTTATGACTATATACACCAGTGTTAAAAATTATAAAAAAAAAAAAAAAGTGTAATGAAACAATAATTGTGGCATGGCATGGAAATTAAGGTAGGCTATGCTTTAAATGGCCGCTTTTGCTTTTAATCCATCATTTTACTATTCTATACTTTTGGTATATATCCACATCTATACTATTATAAGGAGTGGGAATGGATCTAGAGTATTTTTGGACTTTTACTAAACTGAAGCATCCCTACTACTAAATTTGACCTCTCTCTAGTCTATATTTTGAGGGCAGAAGATATAATTTGAATTATTATTTTTGGGTTCATCTATTCTCTCTCACTGGTTCCTAACATAAAAAACTCTCATTCTCTTTCACTAATTCCTATGTTTAATTCGTTATTATTTCTTACATTAAATTCCACTAATTATTTCTGTACCCCATAATGTGAATGGTATAAAAACCAATATTTTTGTTTTCCACCATTTTAAAATCAATCCACTTCACTAAAAAAGAAAGCTAAAAATTAAACTACTTGGTGAGTTATTGGTTTAACCATCCAAGTAAAATGGATCAACCTTATAATATCATTATCAAATAATAACAATTTAAAAGTAGATGGAATATAAAAAATATGTAGAAAATTTTGGAAACATCTTTAATATTATAATCAATATATTAAACAAAAATACATGTTGCGACAAAAATTATTTTATTAATAGTAGAAATAGAATACAAAAATTAGAAGAAAAAGAAAATTAAGATTTAACCAAAGGGGCCTACTAACTAGGTCTAGTCATTAGAAGAGTTTTGACCAATCAACTCTCCAAGTAAATTTTGATGTATACCACCTTATTGGTTTGGTACTTTTGTTACTACTATGATAGTTTTTTTTTTTTCTTGAATGCCTAGGGAAAATTCCATTCAACAAACATCTATTACATTGTTCAGTCTCAATAGACAATAATTGATGGTAGGAACAATTGTCCACATAAAGACATGAGATCTAAAGAGAACTCTATTTAGCCAACTTCTGTGCAACAGTGTTGCATGTTGGTAGACAAAAAAGATACTGAGCAATGTTCGAAAGTTTCCATGAAACTCGTGCAATCTAATCAACCAGTACCTAGGGGTGCTAATGGACCAGTTTTGGGTTGGACTTCATCCAAATCAAAATCCATTTGGATGGATTGGATGGACCAATAAGACATTGAATTTGAATGGATTGGACGGACCAATATAACATATTGGATTGGACCTGGTCTGTCCATAATGAATTTATATTGTATTAAGCCAGTATCCGGTTCATTGATAGAAGATAAGAACATAGGTGTCAATGGACCAGGTTTGAGTTGAAACCAATCTAAATTAACAGGAATTTGAACAGATTGGACAGTCTCTGGACCAATCCAAAATGGTCCAAAATATTCATTAGACTGGACCGGATTGGACCAAATCCAGTCCAATTAACACCCCTACCAGTATCTACTTCTATGATAGTTGATTGGTTACAAGGTTTTTCAATACCATGTATTTTGATATCATACTTGAACCCTCAAGTTTTACATTTTTAATCAAAAGTTGCAAGTTTGGAGCCATTTTTAGTTATAGCCTTTGCACTTTGGACATGATTCGAGTCCTATTCAGATTCAATAGTTCAGACTAGGTCTCAAACATCTAAGCGTCATATTAATGTACTAACCGGAATGAATTCAGATCTAGATGCATCAATCCAAACCGTGGCATCCAACTCGAAAAAAGTCGGGTTATGCTGGGACAGGTTAGAGTTAGGGTTGAAAAATATGAAGTCTTAATTTTGGGTTGGGTTAAGATTGAAGTCTTCGCCAACCTGAACCCGATATAACTATTTACAAATATTATATTATATTATATAATATATATATATATATATATATATATATTTGTGTAGATGCAAATATAATCAATAATATAATATTATAACTGAACAATTCCATTACCAGAAAATATAAAAACCTCAATACTTGAATAAAAAAGATTTGACGGAAAGCAAAAAAATTGGGCCAACCTGATTGCAACCCAACCAAACCCAAAAACTTCGGTTGCCCTAGGGAGTGTTGAGGGTTCAACAGCTCAGATTGAGTTATCGCTGACCTAAACCTGACCGAATCTGGGTCTAATTTGCACATTTCGTGTGAACTTTTGAGTCTGAAGTCGGTAGAGTTTCAGTGGGACGTGCGGGGTAAGATGATGGTGGACCTCACGTGCATCCTGCTCTCTAATCCGTATCACTTGGTCCACTTGTACACTAAAAAAGGAAAAATTATCGATCAGTAGCTTTTACTTTGACTCGAGTGACAATTTAGTCTCAAACTTTAAAATGCAACAATTTACTTTTAAAACGTGACAATCTAGTACCTATTGTTAATCAACCATTAAGTAACATGTGAAAAGACAAATGCCCTTCAAGTATCATCTAATTTTCTTTATTGATCATCTACTAAAATCACAATCAATCATCAAATTTTTCATCCTTTTTAATTTTTCCCTCTAGGAGATAATCAACCAAATAGCAAACTAAACAAGAATGATCTGTTAAGAGAGAGGGAGGGGAGAGAGAAAGTATAGACTGAAACCTTATAATTGCCTAGAAAATAATTCCCATTGTTAGGAAATAAGAGATATAAAGAGAAGAAAACGATGGAGAGAGAGAGAAGTTAGGTGAAAGGGAGAGGGTGGTATGAAACTCACAGCTAGCCTGACTTGGTGGCGCTGGTGGTAGTCTTCTTTATGTTATTGGTTACCAATCTTCCCAGCTCTGTAGCTCTACCCAAAACTCACAGATACTAGATTGACAGTCCATTAACAGCAGGTACTAGATTATTGCGTTTTGAAAGTCTAAGTATTGGATTATCGCATTTTAAAGTTCAGGGACCAAATTGTCACTCGAACCAAAGTATAGGGTACTGATAAAAAATTTCCCCCAAAAAACAAAACTTTTAAAAGAATACTATTATTGGGGTGATCACGACCATCCATATCCTTTTTTTAGCCCCTTGACTTGGAAGCCTAAACAACTCCATATCGGATTGGGTTTTGGGTGGAGACAAAATCACATGTGGCGGTATGGACAACCTATCACGACTTAACACACTAGTGTGGGAACAATGCACCATTGACAAGATACAATGTCCATAGACTCATCATAGACTTATGAACATTCCACTCCTATGAAATTGGGGCAAGCAATCATGCGTCATTCAGTTCCTAAACTTCAAAATGTGTCTATGCATAATCCCGAACTTTTAGAATGTGTCTAACAAGTCCTTGTTGTTAATAGTCCTTCAGTTAATTTTGGAAATGTTAAAAATACTCATAAGGTGTCATCTAATTTTCTTTATCTTTGCTCAGTTCTCAGTTCGCCATTTTTTATTTCCCTATCAAATAGAAGAACCCCTGATATCTCAACCAAAAAGTCTCAGTCCAGGTCTCACCATACTATTGTCCAGAAAAATCACTATTTTTTTCTTAAAACCCGAATTGATTTTGTCCAATTTCTCATCCACATATCAAGCATAAAACAACAAGCCTAAACTCGAAAGAAGCAAGAAACTTCTACTTTCCAACTAAATGGGAGATAAAGACCAAGATCAAGGATGTTGTTGATTTTGTCGGTGATCTTTCCAACAGGATTACACTGATTTAAGAGGTTAGCTATGAATAATTTAATAATAAAATTAAATATTAAGGTTAGCTATGACGTTCAACACTGAATACACATTATTTGGAACTTCTTCCATGGCCAGGCACTATTGTGTACCAATATGTTCTCTGTCACTAGCATCCAGAAAAATGTAACAAATAGAGAGATGATAGTTTTTTGAGTGATCGTTCCTCTTATTTAATTTTAATGAAGAAGACAATGAACAGTATTTATGGCAGCTCGGGATTGATGCTAATTCACAGGGGTATAAGTGTATAGAGTATGATTTTTTTTTACCTTTTGAATGTTTATAAATTTGCAGTGGAAATGAGAAATCTACATTAGGCCTGTCCCTATTTTTCCACATTTTTTAAAATTTTAAGTAGTATATATCATGACGTAATACAAATAAGTGACGAAGTTAACGAATATATTAAACACATTCTGAAAATTCGGGTTACTGTTAGACACGTTTTAAAATTGGGGGATTGACAGAACACAACCCTTACTGTATAGACACACTTTGAAGTTGAAGAAATGACAGTAGACAACAGGGTTATAATAAGGTATTTTCCCTTATAAAGAATCAGGATCCCCGTTACGTGGATCCTATCCACCGCCGGTACCTCAAAGCAGAACGCAAGGGCGATTGCAGCAAGTTCACACATCACAACCACCCCGCGGTCGGGACTCATACTCCCTCTAAGTGGAAGGTGCGTTAATTTTTCAAACCCGTATTTCTCTCAACTTAAAGGTTATGTTTGGTTTGAGGGAAAATGTAGGAAAAAGAAGGGAAAGGCAGAGAAACCTTAAGAACCCTTGTATTGGTTTCTTTGTCTTTCCCTTCTTCCTTTTGTTATCTTTTCCTTCAAATCAAACATAGCTTAAATGTCCAAAAAGGAATAAATATAGAAAAAATAAAGAATCTATTACCATAGCGACTCTGCCGGAGATGATCTCGAAGTCCTGGCTTTTCTTTGAATTTTCTATGTACTCCGAGAGCGAAGCAAAGAAAGGAGACAGTTGGGCATCTTCCCGTGTTTTAATCACTCCGGTGCGATCTGAACCATAAGACCTCAGAGTGCAAACACGAGGCTGAAGAACGATTTTCGCATTATCGGGCGACGAATCGCCGAGCTTCAGCTTCGGAATCGCCACTTCTCTCTTCGGTACGATCGATTTCTGCGTCTGCAACTCGCAGAAGATCGGCCGGGCGGCCGCAGCCATGGGGACGAGAATCAGAAATGCCCGATACCACACGACACGAGAAGGAAAATGGGGCGATACTGGAATCTGGATTTCCGTTTTATTGGGAGACTTCGCGGTGTCTCAGGGTTCCACGTCTTCGGAAAATTTGTGAGGTCAGTCGATGATGACCGAATGTCTTCGTGGCGTCTAATCCTTCGCTGACATACCCTTTTCCAATTACATGAGTGTGAGCTGGTGACGCGTGTGCACCTTATTCTTTTGTAGGAAAAAGATGTCGATGTCACGACTCACGACTCACGAGATGATATGCACTAACTTCTAGAGGAAAGTCATCTGACCTACTGAGTATGGGCCAATACCATAGCAGCCTTAGCCTTTTAAGGACGATTAGGATCAAGAGATTGGGCCCATAGCCATCTGAGTTCAATAACGTTTTGTTCACAAAGAGCAAATTATCTAAGGCCCATTACTTTCTACATTTCAGAAGGCCTGTTATTCGTGGACCATGGTCACAAATCACAATTTCTTTTCTTTGGGTTCAAAGTTCAAACTCTGTCCTACAAAGGAATTTCGAATTAGCATTAGGCCTAGGCCCCTATTTCTTTGCAAGTTATGGGCCCAAACAAGATTTTAAATTTCGGAAAATTAACACATCGAAATTTTCTGGGTTTTGTTTTGGCTACCATAATTACCAAAAGAATTTCCCAAAACTTCACGGATATTAAAAATCCCACTCTGGACTCTTCTTTTTTTTTTCGATAGATAAGGCATCGACCCAATCTTGACTCTTTTCAGCCACCGGGTCTATTTCACCGGTACTAAAAAATCCCAATCTTTGCTCTTGACATCACTTTTCAGCCACCAGGTCTATCGTGATCCGGATCGAAATCACATACTCTCTATTCTTGGTATAGAAAATTTTCTGTGGCAAATCGCTATTGATGTGCTCTCGACCGGATCTGCTACCCACAAAAGCCTACAGCCACACATCTAGATCATCTCTCATACTTGAGTGTCGTCATTTATGGGAAGATGTTGCAGATTTGCGATTGTAGTGTCTTGTGGTGGCAGAAACAGATGTGCTTAGCACCTAAGCGAGCTCAACATCTAACTGACTAGCAGAGAGAAGGGGGAGGGGGAGGGGGAGGGTTATGAGAGCTTTTGTGTATAAGAGATTAATTGTTTAGTTCAAGAACTGTTCCTAATAATATTTGCTTGTAGTGCAGAACCGACGAAGAGAATTTTACCAAAAGAACAAGAGAAAATTCATTATTTGTTTCCAATTTGTTCATTTTTATATTTGTTTGCCATGCAAATCCAAACCAAATATAAATTTTGCATCCAGTTCAGTTTTGCATTTGCATCTATAATTTGCACTGTTAGCTGATATAAAATTTGAACTTGTTTTCCATCATTTCAACTCACTAGAAATGCAAGTTTTGCATTCCAATACTGAAGCAATATTTGCACCACCTTCCTCCTATGTCAATTCCCTCTCATCTAAAATAGGGGTGTATCATCTTGCTTAATTGTAATAGATGCTAATTTGGTAATATCAAATTTATGATACTAGAAAAGCTTTGAACAATCAAACCCTACTGAATTTTGATGAATATCATTTAAATTGCTTATCGTTTTTATGATACCAGTTGCGATTTTTTTTTTCGGTATCACAATTGAACCCTTACATATTTTAAAAATATCATATTTGGTTTTATTAATTGGCTGAAGAAGAGTGTTGATGAACTGGATCAACAAATGAATTCTGCTTAATATGACTAGTTTTTTTTTTTTTTTGCTAAAGTCTAGTAAATTGTCTGTTATCTTGTGCTGATTGATTAGAAACTGCTATATGACCATAAATTTCCCTAACTTTGATATTTTGCATATTAGATGAGAGAGAGATATTGTATGTTCAACTAAACATCCGATCCAAAATCCAATAGAAATCTCAAATTGGATTTGGATCTTACGAATTTTTCAGATTTAATACAAATTAAATTCACTATTTTTAAAATAAAAAATGTCTAAAAATTATAAATAAATTAATGGCTCTTTGACTTATACACAAGAAGGCTATCGAGACCGGATCTTCTCCTCACACCTGGCGCCTCACACGCACATCCTACCATGCATTAGGAATATCTCCTGTACTTATTAGTTATTATTCACGGGAGATATTCCCAATGCACAGTGGATGTGCCTGTGAGGCGCCCATTTGTGAGGAGCAGATCCTGCTTCGAAGGCTATCACCCAGTTGGGTCTAGGGAGGTGTAAACTGGATATAGTTCTATCTAGGCTTCTAGCATTTGGCATTTCTTCTTCAAAGTGGTTAAGTGGCTACTTTCGAACTAAAACCTGCATTACAATGCTGGCCAGCCTGTCCAAAAACTGAAACAAAATTTGCACCACCTTCTTATTGCATCAAATTTTCTCTCATGTATAAAGTGGGGACTGGGGATAAGATCATTTTGCTTCTTACCTTACTCTCAAACCAATAACCCTCCTAGCCTACCTCCTTTCTCTTTGGTACAAGGTGTTTACTTTTCATAGACAAATAAGACAAAGTCAAATATAAGAAAAAGTAAAATAGCAATTACGTTCAGCTTCAGCTTATTGCAGGCCAATATATTACATTGCATTACAAACTAAGACTTACACAGTTTCAACCTTGTGAAAAAACGTAGCATTCTCTCCAGACAAATTAGAGGTGTAAAGTGGGCTGTGCTGGCTCTGCATTGTAGCTGGCTGTGTCTGTCAGGCCCGAAACCCCTCAAAAGATAGGCCCAGTAAGACTTGTAGCATGAGACCAAGTGGGCCCATGCCGAGTTGGGGCAGCGCATATTTTTAGAAAAAATTAAAAAAATATATAATGAAAAGTTAAAATAAATTAACAGTATAAATAGATAGACAATAAGTTGAAAAAAAATCTTAAAATTTTATTCTATATAAATTTTGATGTATACAATTTATTTATATATGAAATAATAAAATGAAAATAAAAACAAATTACAATGAAATTAGAATAAAATAATATAACAAAACTAAAAATAAAAATTTATATTCATATATATATATATATATATATATATATATATATATATATATATATATATATATATATATATATATATATATGTGGGTCATGCCAGTACGGCCCACGTTATCATGCCGTGCCAACTCATGGGCCTCAAAACCCAAGCCCAGTGTGAAGGGCCTTGCCTGGCACGGCCCATATCGTGCATCCCACATTACAGCTATAAGAAAAACATACAGAGCGCAATCAGACATTCAATTTACAACAACAAATTTATGTCATTCCTCAAGGCAGAAGTATGAGCTCAACAGATTAGTTTGTGGTATAATCAGTCTTCAGTCATTACATATGTAATTGTTTCGAAATATTCTATTTAATTTTTGACATTTTTTTAGAAGTTACCTTACTTCAAACTTCAAAGGTTGGAGGTTTTTAGAAGTTACAAACTTCAAGCCTATTTGGGATTTGTTGGTGTGTAGACTTAATTGAAGTCCAAACTTATGAGCATTCGATCAATAGATTTTGGATACAGATCTCAGGAATTGCGTTGGATACAATTCTTGGGAATCATCTTGGACGCTCTCATTGAGTGGGTTACTGTGGCAATGAATATGATGTAACTATGATAAGAAAACTGATATTGAGGGACAAGATGCATGATGACATGTGGAGATTATTGATTAAATACAAAGTGTAACAGAAATAAAAGAGTTCTTTCTTTCTAATAAGTTTGCAATCTGTTAATTTGCAGAGAAACTAGGGTTAATACAGCCCGAATAGAATTTATCTTGATTGAATTTGTGCTGGTTATGCAGATATATGGTCTGGTCTGTAATGGGATCTTCCTTTTATTATGGGTATGATCAAGGGTTCTCTACTTGTCTACTGATAAATGCATCAAATCTATTACTGCTAAAAGGTTGACCATGTTGGTATCTCTAACCTAATACCCAGAAACCCTGAGCTGTGAAAGGAAGAATCACTGATCGATCGATGTCTCTACTCTATGTGCTACTGTTTTAGATTAGTAAACCTGATTGGATGTCCTAAGCCTAAGCCATTACCTAGACTGATTAATTCCTATATATTTTCCTCTTCCTTCAATTCTACATATATCCGTCGCAAACTTTACTTACCTTTGACTCGATTATCTCCTACCTTGGAGACAAGAAATCGTTTGCAAACGACAATCAATCTCTTAGTATCAAATCCTTACAAAAAACATACTGAGCTCGGGCCCATTATTACCTTCTGGGCTTATCATGTACAGGGTCTCAGAATCTTTAGAACCTACAACACGCTCAAAATGGGCCCGCATGTAGGCCAGTTCGCCGTCCGGTCCCTCTGCTTCTGAACTTCCGGGGAGGACCCCTGCACCCATCGACACGTGGTGGAGGAGCTCCATGACGTGCAGATCCTCCTTCGACGCATCCCTCTTTGTGCTGAAGCCGGTCTTCTTTCCATTGCAGAACATTGACCAGATGGGTTCCTCGAGCAGCTTGGTCTTGTCTTTCTCTGGTCTCTTCTCGCACTCGAGTGCAATTCGAACCATGCCGGAGCTCATCTCCTTCTGCAACACGTTGGTTTGCATGGCTAGCTCCAGCACAACCGTCGGGAGACACCGGGGGTTCTCTTGCAGGGACAACGTCACCTTTCCTTTACGGTATCCGAACAACGTGCCCGTTACACGAGTACCTCCATGGCCATGGCCATCCGGTATTAATCCACCTGGGAGAGATTGAAGCTTGCAGGCAGGCGTTAAGATTGGAAAAGTTCGGAAAACAGCTCGGACGCGGCGAAATACAGACTTCTTCTTCTTATGGGTGGGTTCGACAAGCGACAGAGGCGGGCGGGGCGGTGCTGGGGGTGGTGGTGCCGGCTCTTCCGAGGAGGAGGCCGTGGCATGTTCCGTTGGCTCCCCCATGACTGGTCCCTCAGTACCAACACTGGGAAGAAGCCATGAGAGAGGAGGAAGGAGAGAACGAGATGGTTAAGTTAGGCAATGTTTTGGGGTCACGGATGGGTCTCCAGACCCTGAAGTCTAGAACCAATTTTTGTCATTCGTCCTAAACCACGAGCCTTTCCGATTGACTCTCTCGTCTGTATCCTATATGAAAAGATGTGATTATTTTGGGTAAAGACTTCTACTTCTAGACCCAACTCACTTAAGCAATCGGTTCAATTTGCTCTTCTCTCCTCTCTCTTTCTCTCTCTCTCTCTCTCTCTCTCTTGATCTATTGGACCTTCTGTATTTCGCTGTTGCAATCACAGACACGTTAACTCTCATGCATATGAACGTGACAAGATTTAAGATGTGAGGTTGATTGGAAGAGGGAAAAATTTTCGCTCCTTCAATGAATGATGCAAGTCGGAAGGAAGCTTGCGTCCTTCATTGAAGGAGCGAAGGCAAGTTCGAAGAATAGAAGGGTGTGAAGGGATGGAGGGGTCTGGGTGGTGGAAATTCAAGCAGGAGAGAGAATCATGACAGAGACTGCTAAATAGCTGTGTCCCTGAATGATCAAACTGAACAAATATAAGGATAGTTTGAGCAAGAACCTTGGATCTCAAAACCCATTTATTTCTCTTCTTTTCCTCGTGCCCAAAACCAATGGAACGCGGCCAATGATCAGGTCGTTCAACTCTTTAGGTCCGAAACAGCTTACTTCCTATGGTTTTTTTTCCTAAATTTTGCATGTTAGAAATAGAAATAGTAATTTAGGATAGAGCTAAGCTAGGTTTGTCTGTTTTGAAATTTTCTTTTTAAAAATTTGCCTGTTAAATTTAGGATTTTCAACCATGATTACTTGAATTGGGTATTTCTTATTTTGGTGAATTATTGTTTTGTTGGGCAGAGCAGATTGGCTAAAAGAGGATTTGTTAGCCAACCCAAAATATAACAATTTGTCGAGAGTTGAGAGCTTCTTTTTCGTTTTGGGCTTTGTACATTACTACTTCTCCAAGTTTTTAATTTCTGATCCTGATAACTCTAACCTAAAGATGTCTTCTCTATGAATAGAGCCTATATCCTTCAACTTTTTGTTTTTCTGTTCGATTTGGGATTTAAATTAATGGTTCTTAAATTTTCAAAATGTATTATAAAAATTACAATTGAAAGGGTGCAAGTGAGGCTGAACCCTATAATGTCAATCGGGTTGGGTTAAAGAATTGCATCCTACCGAGACAAATTGGATCAGGGTCAGAGAGCAACATGAGAGGGTAGGGTTTGGGTTGAAGCAAACCGATGCCGAACCTGACCCGTTGACATAAGAAAAGTAAATTGAGAAATTTGGAAAAATTAGGGTTTTATAGGCAACACTGATGATGCATGGTTACACCTACATACCTAGCTAATTGTAATCCAAGAGGAAGGCCGAAAATTGTCTTTTGCAATTTGAACAATAAACCATATGCACTTAGAAATTGTGCTATAAGAATTTTCTCCTATAAAATAAACTCTGAAAGAATTCGAACTGCTGGCTAGGTACCCATCAAAAAAAAAAGGAAGAAAGAAAATAAGAACTGCTGGCCAAGTGGCTGCTATCCATTTATTTGATGTGTTGATATAATTAATTTTGACATTTAGGAATGGGTTTGTATCCATTAGAGAAATAAAAACATCTTTAGGGGTCTCACCTAATAGCTTAATCTTTTAGATTAATTAGTATGTGTGTGTTGCATGTGATAATTTCAATAATAGCTCATTGTCTAAAACCATTCTAAAAAGAAAAATTAAGTAATCAAAGCATAGTGATTTATGGATTTAAATTATATATTTTCATTTTCTTTGTTAATAAAAATACTACTTGTTTAAGAAGTCTATCTTCGTTTAATAAGATAAATGTATGATATTAGATGTTTACATAAATTTTGACAATTTTTTGCATTTTTTATATTTTTTGTTTTTATCAATTTTTAGTGTTTTTATTACATAACTATGACACAATTTGTTGACCATTTGACTTGAAAGAAAATATGATATAACTATTGGGTAGCTTTAAGTTTTCTCTTCCATTTTCATAATTTATTTACAAAAATAACTATTGTTTATCAAACTAATCTTTGCTTAATATGATAAATTTATGATACTTGAGATATATTAACTTTTTCTATGTTTCTTATTTTTATTTTTTAATTCTATATTTTAGTAGTTATTATTTAATTATGACATCTTTGGTTTATCCATTTTATTCAAGTAGTTGAATCATTAGGGTTGCAAATTGTAGGGGTGCAAAATGGATCAAATCATGATTCGATTTGAATTTGAATATGCAAGATAAAATAAAAAATGGGATCTGTTAAAAATAGGACAGAGTTTGAATCTCTCTCTCTTTCTCTCTCTCTCACATACACACACATATATTGCATTTTTGTAATTTGATTTTTTATATTTTTTATGCTGTTTTATAAAAAGACATGTATATATAATAAAAATGGTTGAAATAAATATTTGTGTTTTTTTGTATAGATTGTTTCATTTCTTTTCTTTCCTGTTAATATTTTGTCAAATCTAAGAGACCTATGAATAATCAAATCAAATCAATTTGAATAAGGTTCAAATATTCAACATCCTTAGCATATTCGAATTTGAATCGGTTTTTGTGAGATCCATCAAATCATCGAATCAAATCAGATATATGATTAACATTATTGGATCGGATTTGGATTTTCCCCTATCTGAATTCAATTTGATCCATTTGCATCCATAGCAAGTTGGGCAGGTTAGGCTTAATTTAAGCTTAACCCAAGCCCAACCCTAAGAATTGGGTCTAAGACTCAATCCCAAGCCTAATATGTCCAAGGTTCAAAGTATCTACAATGGGTGTATTGGGGTTCTAACCGGTACTGATATTGTCCGATACTCCCCTATCAGCATATCGATATTTAGAACCTTGGTCTAGACTAAAATTTAATACACTTGAACCTAAAGGCTAGGTTCAAGCCAAACCAAAAAAAATAGAAAAGGCCAAACTTTTGGGCTCTCCCAAGTAGATCCCTATGGACCATTGACCACTATTTAGATAGAATATAGTTTAACTTTCTATTCTATTTCTAGCATTAATAAAAATAACTTTGTTTATCACACTTATTTTTTTTACACGATAAATACATTTTTTTATTCAAAATTCATATATTTTTTAGTAATTCTATGCCTTTATCTCTTTTAAATTTTGTATTTTATCCGTTTGACATAAAAGGTTGAACAATTAATCCACCACTTGAATAGGAAAATGGTTTTGTTTTTTGGGTAGTTTTTGATGAGGGCAGATTTGGCCCTCCAGTGAAATTATGACACGTGGCACCTCGTGACAACTAGGCAAGCACCCAGGCAACAACTTACCAAGTTGGTCTCCCCCCCGGGCACCGGTCTGGCTGGCCTGGTGCGACCTGGCGCGACCTGGCGCGTTCTGCGCGCGACCTGACGCGACCTGGCCGGATCAGCTTGCCATAGGCGCCGACCTGGCAATCTGGCCCGGACACAGGCGCCGACCTGACAACTTGACCCGGACACAGGGCCGACCTGACAACCTGACCCGGACACAGGCGTCGACCTGACAACCTGACCCGGACACAGGC